AACCTCGCTTAATACTTAGTTATAACTTATAACAGTTAACAATTGCAGGTTTTGCATTCCATATTAGGCAATGTTGCTTGACTTTAAAAAATACTTACAGATTAGACCTGGCTACTGTACATATACATATTTGCCTTGCCTTTGAATAGAAAACTGCTATGTATAATTAATGTAAATAATTATTAATTTCTCACTTTGTTGCATGCAATCCTTGGTTAAAGTGCCTATGCAACGAAATTTTTACCTCATTTTTTATTGTTTTTTTAAAAAGTACTGCTGGAGTGATGAAGAATGACGTTTACAGTTTCGTCATATCTCATTCTCAAGTTGTCGCACTTTCTATATTTTGAGTTGTGACGTCACAAGTATGAGTTGAGATAATGGCAATAACAAGAAAGTATGATATTTTGGTGAGTATTTAATAAAATTCAATAAAACTTGGTACACTTAGTGAGTGCAACAAAGTCAGTAATTTGGCTTGTTTAGATGTCAGTAATTTAGTCAGTAATTTGGCTTGTTTAGGTAAAAATTTCGTTGCATAGGCACTTTAAATGTTCAATCTTCACATAATTCTGATTGATGTAACAATTCATATCTTAAATCTGGAAATGATTCGTACAGTTTGTATTTAAAATTCTGGGATATTTTTGCAACTCCCTTATCTACAACATCAAGCAGGCGGTGTGCGACACGAGCGCGCAGAGCATGCTGGTTGAAAATTAAATTGCGCTCATATTCCAGTCGACTTTCGTGGTGTGTGTGTCTTAAGGCGATGGGAATCACTGGTCTTTTGCCTCTTTTAAACACAAAAAAAATCCGAATATCGGAATTTTCTGGAAAGGTTGCGGCAGTGGATGCATATTGCTGGCTTCACAAAGGTGCTAGTTTGTTCGCTGAAGACGTCGTGATAAGGAACGACAATAAAAAGTAAGTTCAATCATTAAATATTTATATATTCTCCTCGAGGTTGAGGTAGTCTCACACATGTTTATATTCTTCTATTAGATGCATTGAGCTCTGTGCGGCATATTTGGATGTTTTAGAGGAGAATAACGTCACTGCAGTTGTTGTTATGGATGGCAGAAAGTTACAAGAGAAAATAGTAAACGAAAATCGGGCAAGGTACGACCTCCAAGTGTTTGAGACTTGAGAGTAGTTCGTCTTGTTATAATTTGTATATCTTGTTATAATAAATCTGTTCCTTTGAAATATATAGAGCACGAGACGAAAACCTTCGCACTGGTTTACAATTATGTACGTTTTCTCAAGCAGGGGGCAAATGTATCGACCAAAATGGCTCTTGCATTGATCAAGGTAAACTGCGAATATAAAAAGTCTATGAAGATTTCTAGTAGAGCTCCAAATCGTTTAAATTATTGGAATATATTTTAAGTAGCTTTTTTTATGCATGGGAGAATTAAATTAAAAAAAAAATGTTACATTTTTTCCAAGAAGGGACAATATAAATAACCTTTCTGGTAGGGATGTTGATATACTGTAATTCACTCATGAGTCATGACCAGAGAGTCATGACTGTGGCTTGTGTTTATTATTTCTATTTGAAATTATTTGATATTACAGTTATGTAGAGAAAGACATATCACATATATTGTGGCACCTTTTGAAGCAGATGCTCAAATAGCCTTCCTGCAACAGAATGGATTTGCAGACATAGCCATAAGTGAAGATTCTGATTTACTTGTTTATGGATGTGATCAGGTTTGTTTTTTTAAACCCTGCCAAGGGGCGGTTTATATGCAACCAGACTAGCTCGCACAGTGAGAAAGCCTAGTGAGCATGAAATAGTTTCATGTGAAAATTTAATCTTGCTTTAATGAGTGGGACAATTTTAGTTGTTTTACAGTTTGTTGCAGTAGTTGGTATGTTGACCCAATGAGTTTCAATGTACCCAAATGCACCCTATTTTATTATTTTACTTTGTCTAATGCCAGGTGATTTTACTTGTCAATAAGAGAGTATTACACAATCAAACCCCAAAATTCCTCAATGCCTCATTTGGATAATTCCATATGTTCATTGAGCTATCTTTATATCAGAAACCTCCATAAAATAGACAACTGCAGATTTATTTCCTCTCAAAATCCCTATGTAAGCAGACAGTGACTGTATATTTACTTGATATAGAAATTATAATACAAGCAAGATTTTGGATATAATTATGCACTTTGGACTATCAAAGTGCATAATTATATGCAAAACCTTGCTTATATTATAATGATAGTACACTGTGTGGTGTGGGTTAATCTTAAATTAGTGAATTGTTTGTTATAGGTAATATTCAAGTTCCGTTGTGATGGCAGTGGTGATCTAATAGATTTGGAAAGTGTGAAAAATTTTCTGGAATTTAAGAAGTCCAGTTATACACTTCAAAAGTTTCAAGTCATGTGTGTTTTGAGTGGTTGTGACTATCTGAAGTCGTTAAAGGGGATTGGCATTAAAAGGGCAAAGAAAGTTGTTGAGCAAGCCGAGGACAACAATATTGAATGGATTCTTGATCATTTAAGTTACATTTTAAAAATGCCATCACTACATGTTCCTGGAAGCTACAAGACAGAGTTTAAAAAAGCTGTTGGAATATTTCAATTTCATCCTGTCCTAAATCCTGTTCAGAAGAAGGTTGTCAACCTGAACCACACCTCTGAACCATTATTTCAAGAATTTGTTTCCCGGTAGGCTATTGAACTATAACTTTGTAGTCAAAGTAAAATGATCAGCAAAATATTCATGTAATAATTGTTGACCCATTAATGTGTAGGATTCTTCCCTTGACGCGTAAAGTCATCTGGTGCTCAACAGAATGACACTTTGTATTTTGACCAAATAGGCTAAATCCTTGTTTTTTTCTGTCTTTAGAATTAGTCATGCAGATGCTATTCAAATAGCCATTGGGAATGTATGTCCACAGACTCTGGAAAAGCACAATGATTATGAATTGCCTCTAGTAAGTGAATATATATATTATATATATAAATTTTGATATACCTCAAAAGGTTGCCACTACAGTCTGTTTCATCCAAGAGGAATCACCTGATGAAACAGACTGTAGTGGCAACCTTTTGAGGATATCAAAATATATATTTGCTTCTTCTATATGATATCGAGCACTCTTCAGCATTTCGTGTTTTGATTTCTGTTCACTTTTTTTGTGAACTGCAACTGCACAGTGCACACTAGTTGTATATTTATATTCAGTATTGACATTCCTATACATGTGCATGTAATGTCACCTTTTAATAGATCCAACTTATACTGAGACGTAATGTACACTGTATGTAATTGACAATTTATGACATTCATACGAGTTGGTAAACTAATTAATTTTTAAAAACCATGACTGTTAATTTTTTAGGGATCATTTATTAACTTATGCCAAAGGCCTAGGGCTGTTTCTGAAACAAGTGAGTAATAATTTGACATTTTTAGTGCACCTCACTCCCTCTATAATCTATTCTCTATGGTTGTTTGCACTCAACTTTAGAATTTTACCATGTCTAATGCCAGACGATTTTACTCATCAAGGGGGGCCTTTGTAAGATCCTTGAATATAGGTAAACAGGTAAGGAATATTCTGAAAAGAAAAGTGGGAAGTTTAGAATTAAAATCAGGATTTACATTGCCTGTGCATTTCAACTTTAGATAATGATTACGATGAAGACACTGATTCAGATACTACATTTGATCCGACATGTGGTGTAGATAATGATTACGATGAAGACAATGCTTCAGATGAAGACACTGATTCAGATGCTACATTTGATCCGACATGCAATACGGACAGGGCTCACAACATGGTGCGCAGAAGCAGAGTTCCCAAAGGAAATCTTGTGACCATTACAGCTTTGGGGGAACAAATTAATTGGACAATACCATCGTTCCCGGTCTTGACACTTAAGTTTGTGGTTGTAGAGCTCGAAGGTGGTCACTTGGCTGTTATTAAAAGTAGTGACAGATCCAAGTTGAAATCATTCCCTACAATTATAGATTGCTGGTCCACAGAATGTCAAATTACCATTGGCATAAATACATACACAGTCCTTTGGGATTGGGAGTTGCACAAAGAATCAGAAACCCAAAGAGACGGAGCCACCCAAAGAGATGAAGAACCAGAAAATGATTTTCTTGATAGCCTATTAGGACTTAATGAACATGCACACAGACCTGAAGAATCACTTAGTTCAGGGTCACCAGAATCAGACTTTTCTGATGACGAAGAATCATTAGTTTGCTCACACGAGCTGCCATTTAAGGTTATGGGGGTTGTTCATAACTCAGATAGACAGAAACACCTAGAGAATGCCTTTGAAACAATTTATGGGGAACAAAAGGAAGTTTTGGCCAGAATTCGACCAGATCCTACCAACAAGTTCGATGCAGATGCTATAGCAGTAGAACTTGACTATGGATCTGATTGGAAACTTGTTGGATTCCTGTTAAAAGACTTGACTCAGTACGTGCATCATGTCCTAAATAGTCAAAGACTTTTAAGTGTTCAGATTGGACACATACGATTCCAAACCCAGTGGCAAATGCCTGGGTTTTATGCAAAAATACTTGTCAAGTGTAAGGGTATGTGGCAGAAAGAAGTTATCAGTGCAAGCAGAAGGGTAAAGTGACAGACAGATAACTTTAGTTTTTCATGTACAGATACGTTTATTGCAAGCATAGTTAATAGAATAGATGGTTTGGAAGCTCATTAGAATAACAATATAACTCATTATCTATGTTAGTCAACGTTTATTCATAAATCTGGTCCTTCACCGTCACGTGTGTATTGTATTTTTGCCCAACTAACCAATAGCAATGTTTTAGGAAAGTTACCTATCCATGACTTGAACAATAGGGAAATTGCTATTGATGGATTTGGCAAAAATACAATACACACGTGACGGTGAAGGACCAAATTTAGAATAAACGTTGACTAACGTAGATAATGAGTTGTGTTGTTATTCTGACGAGTTTCCAAACCATCAATGCTATTAACTATGTTGCAAGATAGTTTATTTGTAATTACAGTATATACATCTTATATGTCAACTGCAAGTTCTGGTAAGCTTTCTGGCGCTCTGTGAAAGGTTGCACGCACAGTTAAACTGTTTTTCTGAGGCAATTGTGCTCTGTTCGAAACAAAAACACCAGGATCAGCACGCCGTGAGATCTTTACCCCGTCCAACCGTTCTTTTCCATCTGTTGAGGGCTCGTTAAAATGCGGTAATGGGTCAGAATGGTACCTCTCTTTGTACGATGTCCAGTAATAATATGGAAGTTGTGGGTCCATTCGTTTTGCAAATTCATTGAAAACTTTTTGCATTTGGTCAAGCAGTGTTTTATGGTCAAAAACTGGGCCAAACATGTCATGGAGCATTCCAACCAGTCCTTCCACATCATCGGTTGAGCTTGCTCTTGGGTGTTCCGGGACAAGATCTCTTGATTGATACTCGCATCGCCGCAGCTCCTGGCTTTCAATGTTTGTTGTCAGGCCAATAATTATTTCTCTAGTGAGCCCTTGAATACCTTTAATTCGTCTAAAAACAATGATATTATGTATGTACAATGCACCAATCCAGAAATTACATCATTTGGCCATACTGCCTCGTTTTCGTGTATTTGAGATTAGTTAAATCCAAGCCTTGCCAATTACGAAACAAGGCTCTATAGCCAAATGACGTAATTTCCGGAAGGGTGTATTATCTCGACAATGTACAAAAATTTGTATGTAACATATCTCCTTACCGAATATGTTCACAATACCATAATTATACTGTGTACTTTTAAAGTTTGCAATTCGTTTCTGCCATTCATGTAATAAACCTCTTATGCATATTCGCATTCCATGCAATCCACATAACAATTCTTTTACATTTTATAAAAAATCTTAAAAATTGTGTCTAAAACAAAGGCTTTCCACGTCCTTGTTTTTCTACTTGACGTCTCAGTGTAGTACGTACCTGTTAACATCAATGGTGCTAAAGTCATAATTGTCACGATGCCAAGGCATCCAGTCGTCGAGAACCCAATTTAGCATCTGCTTGTTATAAAGATGCCGCGTATCTTCGTCTATCCCTCTGCCATCAGAAGCTTTGTGCCAATTGTGCACCAATGTTAGGAAGGCCATCTCATTTGCATGACCATTCTTCTGCATGAAATCAATCATCCCAACTGAGAACATGCGTTCGCAGTCCGGAACTGACTGCTTGTTTACACCAGTAAGAGCGGATTTCGTCAACCCAGTTGATGGATCGTTTAGTGCATCTCTAAAATATTGCAACCTAATATTGGGTATTTCACCAGACCGCAGACAATTGGTGATCCTTTTCAAGAGATGGTTATGGTCTTCTCTTTCGTGAAAGAATTCGCCAGAGTTCTGGTCACATTCTGGATTGTAGATGTGGTTGCGGAAGTCCACACCAGCTGACTCGTAGGTTTGAATCAATTTCTTATAATGGTATGTTGCCATCAGTGACTTGAGTACATCACCAAGGGTTTCGGATTTACCTGTCAAGAATGAGTTTTATAAAATAACATTTGTTATAACATAACATAACGTAACATAAATAATCATACAAAAATATTCCTCATAAATCGAGAATTCAAATTGTTTACTAGTCATTTTATTACGTTTCTTTGAATGTTTTGTCCGTATCATTCAGGCTATTTACGAAGCCAATGACTCGTACAGTATGAACTTTAATGAAGGTTTCGTTAAATGTCCTGTACGGTAAAATTACAATTGCCAAATTGGTTTCAAGAGTTGAGACCCAGGCCCGCTTGAAGATCATTACCACGCGTGGCAATTTTTACCACAGGCGCAATTAAAATGACAAAAAAACATTAAGAACTATATTTCGAGAGGGAAACAAACGATAGCAATGAAAAGTCAAATACGAGCGCGAAAGGCTGCTGAGTGCTCGGAGTTGCTAAAAAATTAATGAATTTTTTTAGCAATTCTAAGCAGCCTTTCGCGCTCATATTCTACTTTTCCGCTTTGCTTGGAGACAACCTTAACTGAAACAGCTGTACAATGAGTACATGTACCTGCAATCCATGGATGAGGATCGTAATGAAAAGGATAATGCTTTCTTCTTAGCATGAAAACAGCTTTTCCAAATGCAATGCCGGTCCCGTCCCCACCACCATTCTTCATGAACTCGTGAAGCCATTGCACATCTTCAAGAGGAACAGCTTCATGCCCAAGCTCTGGGAGAACAACTCCTAGACAATAAAGTAATTGCACATAGTCATAGAATAACGAGTCAATGACAATCGGGCGTTTAGGGTGTTCATCTGGGTGTGGATAAAATAATCTGGATTTAGGTTAAGTAATGAAATCCCAATTACACCTTTCCCGTTACGATTTTCCCCACACACAACCTCTGTAATGTACCTTCTTTCACAACAGGAGTTAAGTACTTCTTGATGTCTTGAACTCGGTCACTTTTAGCATGTTTTCTGGCAATCGCAATCAGTTCAATAATTGATAGTGGTCTTTCAGCGCCCATCGTTCGTAAAGAGTTGAACTCTCCGTCCGTGACAAATCCTAGAAAATGATAAAATGTACATAATGTAAACATACTAAGTGGACATAAGAACGGTGTCGACATTATTTTGTTTGCAGTGATATTGCCTATTAATGGATTACTGCATTATGATACCTAAATCTGTAAAAGCTATATAGTATACACTACAGTACAAATACATAAGTGTGTGATACTTGGAATCAAATATGTACAGTACATACCAACACTCAGCATGTCCAGTTTCCTCATTTCATCAACCAACTGCCTCTTTAAATCTCGAACTGTCTTGTCTGTTATTGAACTGTACGTAAGGAATCTCACAGGAATAGCATACGGTTTGATGTTTCTCTGCTCTTCAGAAATCATGAATGAAAACACATGGCTTGCTGCCTCCCTTTGCTTTCCAAATACTCCTTTGCAGTATGGTAGCAAACCTTTGCGCATTTCTGTGAAAAATTTGGCAATGTTTCCATCCAACTGTTCACTATTTTGCAGTCTTAAAACAATTGGTAATATGTCAGATTGGAATGAGAGATTTTGCTTTGACAGTGTTTCATATTCAACAACATCCCATGCCAATGCAAATAAGGTGTTTTCCTTAACATTACTAGCACCAAGTTTCTTCTCATAAGCTTTCTTGGACTCTTCATATCCAGCTTTCAATAAACCCAGGTCTTCTTTCAAGATAGACTGCATTTTCGTAAGATCTATTTAAAAAGGTTTTTGTATGTTATACTTGCAGTACATGACCAGTAGCGTAGCCAGCCCGACTATTTGGTCCTGCTATGCAAATATTTTCATGTTCATTGACTGTGAAAACAATCAATTTCTAAAGAAATGAATAATGATAATAATTTTGAATTTGCATAGCGGGACTAAATTATCGGGCTGGCTACGCCACTGTACATGACGTACTGTATAGCATCATTATTAGTTGTTTTATGTATGTACATTTTTTACTATTTTTCTGTTTCTTTGATGCATCAGATGATAACTATTTGGTTTTCAATACTTTTCATTGTAAACACACAATATAGAAAAAAATACCTCTTAATAACTCATTGCCATGTTTTCCTAATGCAAATGTCTTAGCAGCAGAAAGGCGTTGGTCGTAATTTTTTTCAATTCTTGGAGCTTCCCATCGCCAAGGTCAGTGTCTCCAGACCATTCATTTTTCAAACTCTCTCTTAATCCTATCCTAACATCAAAGGCGTCAGCTTTTATCCACCACCTGCCATCTGGGGCTTGTTGCTTTGCAGCTAATAGTGCTTTTACCTGCAAAAATTACTAATTATTAATCATTTCACAATGTTTTTAGGTTGCAACTATGATTTAAACTTTACCAAAATCTTTTTACAAGTACATTTGATACATAGCATATTGGAAATAGACAGAAAAAAACAGTTCAGCTGTATTCCAATCTAATTTCTGAGTCACTAAACAAACAGGAGCATTACAGTACACTTTTTGCATATGTTAAATAACAAGAATGTGCTAGCTGGTTAAAATTCTAAATCATTTTCACTCTATTACCTGTATTGAAGTGTCCTTTGTAAATCCAGTATTTTTAATCTTACGTTGAAGTTGGCGGACAGAAAGACCAGCAACATTTACTCGGGCCTGCAATGATAGTGAAACAACATGAATTCAAATGAAAGTAAATGTACTGTACCTGTTGCAATTAAGGTGTATTACAGGTAAACTATGTCAAGCGTTCCTCTTTTGAGTTTCTAAATGGCTTGCGATTTTTCTCATTACCTTTCCAATTTAAAAAACTTCCTTGAGGAAATTTGCAATGTTGCTAAAAGCCAATTAAATTTTCCTCAGTTCCTGTTAGAAGTTCTTTTCCTGTTACAAGTTCCTAACTTCCTGTTCTGCGCGTTGCAATTGGCTAACAAAAATAATCCGCCAATGACAACGCTCAGAACAGAACAAGAAGCCAGGAAGTTAAAACAGGAAGTTAGGAAAATTTAAAATATTGCAACAGGTGATAAGGAGTGTTTCAAATTTGCAAAGCTAATGAGGAAAATTCCAAATGAGTTACAGTAGGAAGTCAAAAGAGGAACGCTTCACGTAATTAACCTGTAATACCCTATTCCACCACATGTAGGAGCCCCCCATATATATATGCATTCACTTCTTGATGGCGATTTTGACTTACCGGTACAAAAATATAAAGAATTGTAAATAATTATTCAATTATATATATGCACATGCACAGGGAGAGGGGACTCTGGGAGGGGTTTCGACAAAAAAAAATGAGTATTTATAGATTAATTAAATAAGTACCTTTGTTGGATCTCTCTTAACTCGCTTAGATTTACATGCAGATGTCTTGTCCAACCCATGCATACGAGTCAAATCATTGATGCTTAATGAAGACTGGCCCATATCCTCTATTGTTTCATTGGTCAAACCTGACCAGAGGGACGACACTTGTGTACTTTCGCAGTGTGTTTCATTGCTGTCGTTGTTATTTGGGCTCACTTCTACAAAATATTAAAAGATCCCAAATTGAGAAGCCACACCAAGTACATGACTATGACCAGTTATCATTGCAGAGTTGTCATGTTCATGTCTACAACAGAAAGTACAACTCATCCATTAAAACTCAAAGTCTCTGTTATATATATAGTCTTAGTTAACTATAAATGAGATCTAAGCAATTTGCATCGTCAACATATACAGTATGTGCACGCATTTGAGTTTAAATGAAAATTTAGATGTTAATGGTTAATTTAATTAACAAGTTTATTTACACCCGGCTTTACACTGCTACACCACTTTAGAAAAATGCTAAATGAACTACTAATTTAAATCATATTCAAATGTACATACATTATATAAAAATGCACAACCAAGGTTGCCAATAGACCTTAGAGGTTCTTATATCACACCATTGCCAAACAATGAATTGCAATGCAATATGGGAAACACATTTGGGATAAAATCTATTGTTTATATGGATTGAAAACTATGTGACATAAGCATCTCTAAGGTCTATTGGAAGTAATAATCCACAATACTGTTTATCACAGAACTGTTATCGATGAGTACATTTTTGTACACTAACCTGTTTCACCAGTAATTGTAACTGGAAGTTCATCACGCAAGTTCATCATGCAATTCTGTACATCCACACCAGCAATATCACCAAAGGTTTCTGCAAGTGCTTGCTGAATTATGTTACTTTCAAATTGGTTGGGAACACTTACATCTTCGATAGATGTCTCGTTATGCATGTTTTGTGTGCAATCAATTTCTTCAGTGTCATTGGTAACTACATCTACTGTTGGCAACCCCTTATCACATTCAGACCACATTGGACCTCTTTGAAGAGCAGCCCACTTGTGCCCAAAATGTGCAAACATGCTAATTTCCCATTCAACAAAGTGTGGTTCAGGGTGCAAGTTGGTCACATCTTCTGAACCAAAGAACATAATATTATGGCTTAATAAGCCATAAGGCATCCTGTCCAAGGGTAACCTACTCTGTCCTTCTTTACCAGGCTCCAAACTTTTTCCAAAGTAATATATTAGATTTGGCTTGTCGTTATCTCTTAAGTTTTTCATAGCATTTGCAATTATCCCAATAGTATCATGTGGCAAGAAAACTGAGCTCATATTGTTGGACATACCTCCAATATACTGAAATAAAAGCCTTGAGAGTAATTGCTCTTGTTGCATTGATGACAACTGACCAAATAAAGCAATTATTGACTTTATTGCATGACCATTGGTGTCTGAAACAACTACCTTTTCAGTGGTGGGACTGTGCTCAAATATTGGAGAAAGGTTGACCGATGATGGGCATGCACGGACTTGTCCTGATTTTGGCGTTGACTTACTACACACAACCAACGGAAAATCATCATCAAAATATTTTATATTGAAGTGTTTTTCAGCTTCATCCACAGTTGTAAAATTCTTGCGGAAAAAATTAAATATTTTGTGACGACAAGCATTTCCTATAAAAATTAATAGCTATAATTTAGTTTTTGGCATAATCATGATGGTAGCAAGACTGACCAATGGCAAACACTTATAGTCAACATCCCATGACCAAGGATAGGTGGGCACTTTCCCTGTTAGATCAGGGCCTTCAGAATTATTCTAGGTACAGGGAGGTGGCTGTGTTGATAAAGTCGTAGGTGGCAGTTGCGGGGCATGGCAGTCCAAGGAGTCTTAAAGTTATCCAAATTAACCAGTCACCAGTGTATAATCACTACTTTCATTCTTCAACAAGATGACTTCATGATTCAACATGGCAAATAACTAAATCAGTTTCACGAAATACTGTAGTATGTCGTAGATCTGGCTGGATCCATCATCCATCCATGTTTTGCAGCAATTTAGAAACTTAGTTAATTAATCAGCTATCATTAATACACATTTTGAAATTAGGGAGAGAACTCATCTTCCAACCACCCTATTGTATGTGAGTCTGTCAATGATATACAGTGGAATTGGAACCAGCATTATGGCCACCTTGCTATTTATTCAACATTTACATATACTTTTGCAGCATATAATAAGCTTCAAACAAATATGTAAAACCGTATTTACCAGCTCTTTTAGGTAACCCAGATGTCTCTGCAACAGCTTCAGCACATCTCTCCCAGAACACTGCGTTTTTATGTGTTGGCCACTCTGCTGCCTGAATGTTAACCTGAGTATCAGGCTCTATTTTACAAATAGAGCCTGACACAAAACTTAACCTGATCGCTTTCCGCCCACAGCAAAGTTTATATTTAGTATCCAATCAAAATGTCGCAG